TGCCGCAGATGTACAGAAAGGCAGGTAAGAACAATACCCGGTATCATTTTACTCGATACCATCAAGTACAGTAAGCCGACGGGCAATGTTATTCCCGGCTCTTACATCGAGGCTGAGAGCCGATTCTCGGAACACCGACACCAAACTCTACATCCCAGTCCCGCCTGTGCCTCCTGGACCAAAGAAAAACCCGTCGAAAAGATCCAAGCCGTTGCCCTATTGGTAACTGTCAGCACGTGTACTTGCATCGTCGCAAATAGAAGCGACAGTGAGGGGGGAGACTTACATCACTCCAATCATGTGTCCCATCACCAAACCCCATTCCAAAGCCTATGCCTACATCTTGCAGCCCACCACTTCCTGCATCAGCACCATTACCGCTTGCGCCCTGCACAGGAAAGCTATCTAGGAAATCTAGATCAGAGAACCCCAGATCAGGGTAGCTGGAGGTGATATTCTGTGAGAAATTGTTGTAGGGGACTTGATTGCTGATTTGGTAAGGCGATGGCATCGATGGATTAGTAGGCGGAGACGTAGAAAAGGTATTTTGCTGGTTCGGACTAGTCATGTTTGAACTTTGGGCGAAGAAGTTATTTTGTTGCTGCTGCTGTTGGAGGTGGGGTGTGCGCAGTTGAGGAGAGATCTTTAGATCCGCTGTGAAGGGCTGCATTTGAGACTCGGATTTCATGGGTGGGGGAGGGGGTCTCATGGCATTGACTTGGTTGCTTACGCGACTGAATGACCGTTTGTCGGTCTCGTCGTCGGAGAAGAGGTCTTTGAGGTTCATGTCGAAGCGTGGCATGGGTCGACGCTGCTGCTGTTGTTGCTGTTGGCCAAAGAAGTTGGCTGTGTTTCTTGGTGCGTAACCTTGCATGTCGGTGTCTGACCTGACGTCTGCATCGGCTGCAGATGTGTATGCAGTATTCGGTGAGGTTTGTGTAGGGTACTGCTGTGCTTGCGGAAGTGACCGCAGAGCTTGCGGCCCGAAGCCGGTGGTGGACATGCACATCTGAATGGTCGCTTTGCTCATCCGATCGAATGCATCGCGGCATGCTTCTGCGGGCGGGCATTTGTCGATTAGGTCACCCAGCACGGATGTCGCGGCAAGGACGGTGAAGTCGACGTCGTCAAGAGACTGCATTGGTTAGACATGTGTGTTACACCAACAAAACGTATCCACAGTAGCACGGAAATTCGGACCGACTTACCAATAGACTGCGTACATGAACGCTGTGCCACACTGCGTAGAGGAACGATATACCTGCAAATGTCAGCACTGTGGGTACCGGTGAAGATGATGAAGCTTACCAGCCATGAAGAGATGATGTGTCGCCAAAAAGGTGTAATTGACAAGATGGACGCGGTGCAACTGTCGATACAACTTCAAAACCTTCTGGCCGGCTTCGGCTACCTTGAGAAAAACGAGATCTTCGTCTTCGCGCTCCTCAAGATTGCTCATGGAAGGACTTCCCATGTCGGAACCAGTATTGCCCAGCTCTTCCTGTAGGCCAGAGGGAACGACCAGGCTCTGTCGGTACAGCATAATCAATGCTTGCCAGTAGTTGAGCTCTAGAAACAGTGGCGAGAACTGCACGCCGGCATCAAGCTGTGTCGGCGCAGAGTCTTTCCACTCCAGTAACCGCCTGTCGATATCTACGCGCCACGCGCGGAACGACTCAAAATTGATCAGGAATGGCGAAGGCAGCTTGGTATGCATGAACTCATTGCTCTGATTGGCACCACTCGCTCTTGCCTGCTGTGCCTGCCGATGTTGTAGGACTTGCAGAATTTCAGATTGCAGTAGTCTCAACCGGAAGTAATGGTGGGCCACAATCTTGTACGTCGGCTTCTCTTGATGCACTGGCGGTTCCAGGAATCCTTCCTTGGTAATGTAGCGATCATCGAGGAGCGAAGGGAATTCGGTAGTCACAATTTGGTCTGTGATACCCTATGCAGCTGTTAGTCACGCATCGAATTTTGAGAGCACGAGACCATGTTGGAAAGTCGGTGTCGAACATCCCGATCCTCGACATGTCCCCTGGTGAAGACTGCCGCACATGCATGCGGGATCGTGACATAACCGACATGATCGGTAGTACCATACGAAAATGAAGACCCAGGAAAGTACTTACGAAAGGTCTGCCAACACACGTGCTGACCAGTCTGTCCAACGAGTAGACACACCACCACAAGCGTCTCCGTAGGTCTCTGACCCACTGTCTGCGGCCCCTCTCCTTTGCATCTATTTTCGAAGGGTTCCCGCCGCTGGCAGCCGTCGTGTTCCCGTTACCCTCAGTTTTGAAGGCCGCGGTTCCAGCAGACTGGTCTTCCGCACCCGCCCCGTCGATGCCCACGCCATCCTCGTAATGCAACCCTAGGTCCACTCCAAGACGTACAGCAACGCCCACAATGTACCACAGCCCAGGGGCAACCGGTCTCAGCAGCGCAAAGCCCGCGAGCAGTAGCACAGCTTGCAGCTCCTCCAGGCCACCGCCGAAGCCGTCGGGACGGTCCGCAGCGGGAGAGGAACCCAGGAAATTCTCTAGGTGCACAATGGCGGATGCGTGGTACTCCTCGGGCTGGTGCTGATGACCTGCAAGTCGCCGCTTCTTGCTGCTCGGCGGTGATGACCGTGATTTTGTTGGTGAGCGCCCGTGATCCGACGTCGGCGAGCCCTCAGAGTCGGAACTGCCTAGGATGATGCCAGCGCCTATGGCAAACACGATGTTGAGCATGTACGACTCTCGTGATGTGCGGTGCCGTTCACCGGAAGCGTACACGCGCTCAAACATTTCCATAAACTCGCCCCGATGCAAGATGGGGATTTGTGGGTTTGCGTGCTCAAAGTACAGCTCAACAAGCCGCGACCCAAGCTCTCGGTCTGGGAAGGGCGCCTGCCGTATGGTAGGTTTGGTCTGCAGCCCGAAGAAAGAGTCGCGCATCGAGGTGCCGCTGTCCACGACATTGCTCGTTACTTTGGCGCCCCGATTGCTGCCGCGCTCAGAGGAGGAGCCTGATACTGAGCTCTTGACGGCAGCAAACACGACGCGGGCGAAGGATATGCCGGATGTGGAGCCCAGATATCGCGGGTCACTGGCGCCTTGCACCGAGACCATTCCGATGTTGGACACGAGCTTGGTGAGCTTCTCGCGGTCGTACTTGTCGCTCTCCTCCTTGGCCTGAGCAGCCGAGGGTTTGGTATTGCCATTGCGCGGCGGCGGCGCGGCGGATATGGGTCGTGGTGTGGCGGCGCCATTGGAGGCAAAGGCCGGGTTGAAGTCGTCGGCGTCTTGGAAGGGGATCGAGTTGTCGCGCAGGAGCGACTCGAGGTAGGCGATTCTGGTTTCGCAGTAGAATACATAGCTGTAGCGCTCGTCAGTCGTAGCCGAGGCGACTGCCCATAGCTCCCCTCGTAACTGCGTACCTGCGCGGAATCTCTCGCTTGGTGATGGGGTCGTAGCCGACGCACTTGACGCCGGCCTTGTCGCAGGAGGCGCACGAGGGCAGGCGCTGGTCGCAGCGGTTCTTGCGCAGCCGGCAGCGGTTGCAGGCGCTCACATTGCGGAAGGAGCTCGACGACGACGAGGCAGGCGCGGCGGGCGAGGCAGGCTTCACCGTCGACGCGGGCGATTCTGAGGGCGAGGGCCGGTCGCCGTCATGAGACGCCTCGTCCAAGGAGCGCTTGAGGCCGCTCATCAGGGCGCATGGCAAGAAAGTCCGCAGGGTTCGGGCTAGTGAAGCTCGCGCACGTCTGGCGTCTATTCTCCGAGCTTGAACTCCCCCGCACTCTGGATCAGGACGTCAGCAACAGCGACCACTGCGGGCGGCGTGGATAGGGCTGCGGATTGCGATTGCACGGGGAAGATGTCTGCCATTCTCCCAGCGGGACGCGGTAGTCGTCGCTTGAGAGTGGATGGCTAGCTGGTCGGCTACGGGCCTTATCTCTCCAGCGGAAGATAGGCGTGGGCGGAGTGTGGGTGCGGCTGCACGTCATGCTCGCCATGTGGGCAGACGTCTACTTTGCCATGTGCTATGGGGTACGTCCAGCATCAATCTATTCAAAGTGCCGTCTTCCTCCTCTCACAATTATGTCATCGCCCAGTTACACATCCGTCCACAGGTTGACATCTATGGATGGCTGTCGTGCTGATTGCAAGCCCTCGTAGCATTACTAAACTGCCTCGGCCTCGGCAAGCCGACTTCGCGATCCTTCAACACCAAGGGACCACAAAAGGAAGCCGTTACTTTCGTCACCGCGCGCATATATCTGCCGTCCATGACCTCGTGATACCGTTTCATGGTCGAAGCAGCCATGCAAGGCGTCCGATATCCGCATGTTGGCGGTCACTGACTCGCGATCCCCGTTGCTCCACCACGTGCATGAAGCACACCGATCCAAGCACGTGTAGAAGGCAAAAGGAAGCATCCGTAACGTGCAAGGGACCACTTCGACAATGCAGATTCCCCACTACACCTGTTTTGCGACCTCCGCTTAATCTTCAAGACAGACGCATTGAACTCACCGCTGGAGGCCTGCTCCGACTCAGATCCAGCTAATGCACTCTTCACGACGTACATGGCAAAACAAAGGTCTGGTGTTTGAGAAATCATCCAAGTCATGAATTGGTGCTCGAGCACGCTAATCTAACATACAGTGTAGCAAAGAAAACTAATAACTACTGGGGTATTCTGTTCTTGAGACAAACGCCGGCTCGGGGATGACCATTGCTGGTCTCCAATACAATCGAGCTTTCCCTTCTAATAATGTTGACCCAAAAAATGCCGCCCCGGTAAATGATGTCGCTAAATTGCACCCATAATGATGCGCCGCGCGGGAGATGTAACCCTCATCTCTGCCGCGATAAAAAATGTCTCTATAATCCGAAATTATGCTGTGAAAGGAAGGGTCGCTACCAGCGCGTCGACGCCCTGCAGAGGGCTTGCGCCGCATCATGCATGTCGACGGGCGTCGTTACTGTTTTAGTCGTGATTGCGTGAATCTATTTGGAGAGGACGATCTCGATGTCGTCCGGAGTAAGAGTGATGACAGACTCTGCGTCAGAGTCAGAGTCGATGAAAGACTCCTCGTCCTGTGCGGCGAAGCTGGATCGCTTGGTCTCTGTGAGGGCGAAACCGGGGAGCCATCCAAGGAGAGCAACGGCGGCGATAGCCCACCACGCAAGACCAGACATGTGGAGCGTGGTACCAAGGCTGTCGACGGCACCCGAGATGGTGGGACCGAAGCCGCGAGAGATACTGGCAGAAGACATGGCAACGCCGTTCAACGTGCCGAGAACCTTCTTCGATGGGGATGAGTTTGCGAGGATGATAGCCAGGGACGGGTAGGAGAGCGATTGGAAGGTGACCTTGGCCATGAGCAGAACCGCAAGTCCAGGGATGCGCAAGTTTTCGGGAAGGATAGCCAGGTAAGGAGCAAGGAGGTACAAGATCGGGTAGCAAGCTAGAGTGATCCAGAAAGTACGAAGGCTGCCGAGCCTCTTGCTGACCCAAGGGAAAAGGATGACCTGTGCGAACATCTGGAGGAAACCTTGCACTGCGAGGAACGCGCCGGTCGTTTGAGTGGACCATCCGAAACCACCCTCAAAGCGGAAGGGAAGATGTTGGCTTCCCTCGGTTGGCACATGCTTGGACATGAGAATAGGTAGAAGTTGCTCGAGAGAGATGGTGTGGAAAGCAAGAACACCATAGCACACTACATTCAGGCACACTTGCTTGGTGAATGCTTGTCGGAAAGTCGGCGCTGGCTCGAACTGCTTGTCCAACTCAAATTCCGGGACCTCTGAAATGGAAGTTCGTGTGCTGCAGAGAGTAGGCGAAGTGTCGGTGCTGCGGTAGGCCTGGACGTCGTGGTCGTGGTCGCTCAACATCGAGCGCATCTCGTCAAGCGAAGCATCCTTGTCGTCAAATCTCGCATCTGCGTCGCGCTTCCACAGCTTCTGGAGAAGCCATTGCCCCGCTTCGCGGCCTCGATCCTGGTCGTATTTGCGATCCTCGTGGGTCTCTTCCAAGAACAAAATACCGACAGTCAGGCCGAGAACGACAAAGCCGGTGCAGACCAAGTTTGGAAGAAGGAACGGGTACGTTTCGAAGATGGTGTCCTGGAAAAACGGCATTACGTTAGCGGGACGAGCGAGCAAGCCGCCAAGCGCTCCGCCAATGATGGTGCTACAAAAAGCGGTCAGCCTGTGGACGAGTCGGGCTGCTGGGAAATATCTTACCCAAGGCACCAGACAAAGGGCATGATGGAATAAGCGCGCGCTATGCAAAGTCAGTCGTGCGCGGCGTATAATTAGAGTTATGGTAAAACTCACGCTGATGTCGCTCGTCCGTAACAAGCTCTGCGACAGTGGTCTGGAGAACGCCGATGTTCCTGCATATTCGGTTAGCGAGGCTCAGACGCTAGATCGAACTATGACCTCACCCGTTAAGCAAACCCCCGAGAGCCCGCGCAATCAACGCCATTGGTAGGCTCTGGGAAAAGCCGAAGAGCAACATGCTCAGCCCCGTACCAAAAAGACCTCCAAGTAGGACCTTCTTCCGTCCTACCCGATCACTGAGTCGGCCCCAGAAAATGCCGCTGATGCATTCCATGAATGCGAACGAGGATGTGACCATGCCGGTGTACATGGAAATTTGGGCGGTGGAATGTCCGGTCATGAATGATTCGACCATGAAGTATGCGTAGGGAAATATCGACATGAATGCGATTGGTTCGCATATCCGGCACAACGCTACCATCGTTAGCGACTGTCGTGTGTTGCTACATCATGGCATGCTGCTCACCAAGTACGGCCATCTGTCGGGTTGGGAAAGGTGTTATATCGCTGCCCGCGGCAGCTGCCACGCCATACCGAGCCATGTTGATAGTATCGAAGTCGAATGTAAGGTGGTGTGCAGGTGTAGAGGTCGAGGTCGTCGAAGAAGAATGTCAAATACTATGACAGCAGATGGTGAATGTCAAAGTGAAGTGGGAGTCGGCTGTGACAAATAAGACATGTGCGAGTTTGCGACAGATTAGTACCTCCAGGGCTCAGAGGTCAGAGTCAGTTTGCAAAGGACGCGAGCGTCACAAGGTATATAAGGAGCAGCAAGATTTAAGTGGCGTCCTCAAAACGGATAGACCGCTGGGATGAGCAAGGATTGTGGCGGCGGGGAAGAAACGGAGAACAAGCGGTGATGGCAGTGGGTATGGATACGTAGTGTGGGCGGATAGGGACAGCGGAGGGACCAGCGAATGTAAAATGAGTAGCGGATCCGTGATGCCATCGTTGCTACGAAACAGCCCACCGTCTGTCGATAAGCGACCGGAAAATGCAGTGCTGGCAGCCGAGCTGTACCTAGCTCTGTTTTTTGTGACTCCATGTCACCGGACGGGCTCTGTGTGAGCATGCGAGAGCGAATGCAGGCCCCTGAAAGTGGGCCAGGGCTGGGCTGGGGAAGCTTTCTGCTCATTGAACAAACCGGTCCGGGTTGGACGGAATCCACGACATTGGACGAGCTAGAAGGAACCGAGTAAGGCGGACCAGGGAGAGTTGCAAGAGCGTTGGACGTGGCTCGTAAGAGGAACAGGATCAACAGAGCAACCCGACTCCCCGGGACCCAAATCCTCGGCGCTAGAGATGCCCGCATGCCTCTACCGACATTCACAGGCACTAGCGCTCTGAGTCGCGCCACAGCAGGGGAGACCCTGTCGCTCTGTGAACGACATGGCAACATGCCGGCGACTTGCGGCTTGCTTTCCTTCCCTAAACGGACATCGCGGCTCAGCGGCCGATGCCCCGCCAGCAAATAGGACGTCGTGCCGCCAATGGTGTAGAACACAAGGCGATGCTAATTTTCGCAGCGCCCAGTTCAGGGGCACCAGGACACCAAGCCGCGGTCAGACTTTTGACGTGAGGCGAGTCAGAAGATTCGCCGCAGAATTTCGAGAAGCAGCTTGGGCCATGCAGCTGGGGCCCTCGTTGTCATTGATGATGAGCGTCTGTCATGGCATCATACCTTGCTGCTTGATTGCTCCGACAAACCCCCAAAAAATAGCGGTGTACTCCATGCCTATTCGGCAGATGCACACCAACCGGTCACGCGGCAATGCGCATTAGACAACGTCGCTTTGTTGCAATGCCTGGCGATCCGGGTGGTCGTCAGCGCCACAAGGCACGAGTCGCGGCGCTTGAATGGCCGAGGAGGACGACGCAGCGCGTTTCGTATCCCTCAGATCGCAACCTGGCACTAGGCGTGCGGCGATTTCATTTGCTGCCCCAGGTATCATTTCTCTGCCCCCCTGTCCGGTCAGCGTGGTTTCGAAGCTTCCCACGCCTGCGCATTGGGCCCAACCGGGTCGCAGGACGTGGCTTGCTGCTTGCATCTGTCATTGCTGGTCACACATCGTGATTGCATTCTCATCAGTCATCAAGGCATCATAACCCTAGGACCCCCATCAGCTGACGAGGCTCTGCGCCCTTCTGCGGCGACGTAGCATCTGTACTGCTGCCCATTTCAGACCGCTTGATTAGGTTTTGCCAGCACTCCCATTTCCGGTGGGCCCCGGACATGCTTCCGTCATGTGCTGTAAGTGAGCTGTCGCGGTATACCAGCGATCTCTGCTTGCTGGTGCAAAGGTGTCCAGGGCACAACGGCTGTTTCGACGCAACCTGGCCTAAGCGGTCATGGCGGTGTGGATATGTAAGGCTGGCCTGCAGATTTCCACGCGAGGACAGGGTTCGCTTTGAGATGGAAGCGTCTGAGACAGCCACCGCCTTTTTTAGCGCCTTTAGGTTTACGCCCCCTGGCCCTCTCATTGCTCTACTGGAATCCTCCGAGAATGACACCATGCTTCTTTGCCCTTAGGCAATAGCATAACTCATAGCGTCGTGCCGCGACGAAGATGACAGCAGATGCAGGCGGCGTGGGTTGGAGAGGTTTCGGAGGATTGGGGTGTTCACGCGCTTGTCGGCACGAGTGTACAAAAACGAAAAGCCAGCCTTGAAACCGGCAGCGTGGGTCGATCGGAATGATGCTGCCCGATCATTCTGCATCAGGTAGATGCTCGATGTGGCGCCGACTCTACGTGCGAGGCTTTGTCTGCCTTCTTTTGCCCTCGGTTGCGACGACGTGTAATACCATCGCCTTAGGCTACCAATAGTGGGCTGACTGGAGCCAGCGCATTTCGACCCGAGCCTTGTACGACGTGGTCATCAATCATCGCCATTGCGGCACAGCGTCTCGAAATAAGCGTAGGAGGGCGAAAGTTGATTATCCTGATGCTGGTGTATAGGCTGGCTCGGCAAGCGCAAAGCGGGATGGCTAACCTCACATCCCGACACAGGCGTTTCGAGACGATGTAGGTGTGTGTGAGCCAGTTCTGCTCTGACTCGCCAGTCTCAACGGCGCATGCGGTCATGCACCCTCCATGGTATTCTGACGTGAGTCCGGTGGTGTGCGTTCAGCCGGACCGTTGCGAGTCTGCCGGCACAGATACTCGGTCTCAGCATGCAGACAGAGCCTTGTCCCAGGGCCGCACATGACGTCCCGAGCATGTCTGACATAGATAGACGACGGGGATGGAGCGGCAGCCCGGCATCGGGCGGGTGAGGAAGATGCATGCAGTGTTACCGCGAATATATCCAAAGGTGGTGTAGGGATGGTGTTCGACAGGGCGTTGCATCCGCCGAATAATCAGCTCAACCTCATCAAACACCACTCGCGAACTGCCACGTTGATGAGCTGCCCAGATCCCACACGATGCTACCATGCGCGCATCTCCTTTCGCGACCCGGTGAGATACAGAAGGGTGTTGGTGGTGTTGCACGCTCAACGAATGGCAGGCGGGGGAGCGCGTTAGACCCAAGCAGGTGAGAACGCAGATCGGCTAGCACTAGCGTCGAACGCGCTTCGGCTCTCTGTCGCAGGCGCCGTGCTTGCAGATGCCGAACAACCTACAACCATCATCGTTGCGCTCGAGATGCCGTTGTCCGTCTCTGCGTCGGCTCTCCCGTCGTTTCGGAAGCAGCATCTTCTCGTCGAGTTGTGAGTCGAGGCACACGGCTAGCAGCGGCGCTTCCTAACTCTGCACAGCACCCGTCTGCGCTATGCACAGCTGGATGGCGTTTTCTTGAGCATCACGCCCGGCGACCCAACACTGTGGGTAGGTGTAATATTCGTGCGAAAAGGTAGGCTGTTTTATAGGGCTACGCCACGGTGTTGCGTTCCTTGCGACGTTATTCACGTTTGACAGGACCATATGCGCCTGCAGTCTTACGCTTCCAAATCTCCTTCCCACCCAGCTATCCTACTATACCCCCCCTCGTGACCTTTTCTACCGATGTCTTTCACCCGCTGCTCACGCCACTTACCACGTATACTTACACGACTGGCTCCGCCGACACGGATACCGTCAGTGCCACGGATGAGGAACGGCTGCCACCAGGAGGCTTCAGTCTCCGGCACGGCTTCCCGCACTGGTTCGGCAGAGCTCGAAGATCTGTACCGAATTCTCGCGATGTCAGTGGATCTTCAAATGCTTTTCCCGCGCGACCCGACTCCAACGTCGTATCTGGCGTCCTCGGGGCTTCTCAGTCTACTGCGGAGTACTCCATTGTGCGCATGCTAGAGTACATCCGCTCAACCTTTAGTGAGGAGTCAATATTGGACTCACTTCCGCTAGAGGCTGCTGCGAACCCAGGCGCGTATCATGCGTGGCGAGCGCACCGCGCGCCGATATTGCAATCGCAACAGTCAGACCGAGCAACTCCAAGTCCCGACCCTTCCACAACGGACAAGTCAGAAGGTTCATCTGCATTAGGACGTAATCGCCGACCTGGAGAGTGGAACTGGGAGGGGGTCTGGGAGGAACGTGTAAGAAAAGCAGTCAAGGCTAGTATATCGGAATCAGTCCTGTTCGGCGCTGGCGCTGGAGAAGACATTGTAGGTCACAGCCACATCTGACTAAGCCACTGCTTACTCATGTGATAGATTCGCTTTCGCGAGGCGGACGATGAGATGCACGAGAAGATGAAGAGGCATTTAGAAGTAGCTGCCGCACAACTGGGCGAGGCATAATCGGTGGACTGGTTGGATTACAGTCGGCATCAAATATCTGGTAGAAGCTATGCGTTGCCCTTCAGAAGCTAAGCATGAACTCGAACACGTCTTCGTGGAAGTTCTTGATACGATTGTCTTTTTTCAGAAGTAGGAAGGAGTATGGTAGCTTTGTTGACGTGCCCACCTGGCACCTTCCCGGCTTGTAGCAGTGCCTCCCACCTTTAAACCTCACCTCACCGTTGGACTTCCAACCTCCGTTCGCACATCCACTCTACATCTCAACTTGGGCATTGCCTACTCTTCTTATCTATCTCCCAGATTCCGTTTGCCATCTGACGTCACTGTTGATAGCAAGACCACGCGTTCTCAAGAAAGTCAAGGTGAACGAGAGCGCGCCGCGGTGACTGGGCTTTTATTTGTGCCTAATTGGGACGCGTCCGTAATGATCACAACAACAACAGCTGGCAGCGTCTTTCTCGACCGCGCGCCTCTCTGCCCATCTCCCCTCCACATCCAGAAGAAATCGCGAAAAGCTACTTTTCGAAGGCGAATATTCCGTAAGTCAACTCCTACCTATTGCGACGATCAGTACGTGTTTGGTCCGCTAGACGACATCATCGACGAGATCAAGAGCGATATCTGGGAGTCACCACCCGACTACAGCTTCAACTCATCCGTCTTTGATTGGGCGCAACCGCTCAGGGCACCTTTGGCGTGGACCGTAACACCTCTGCCTGTTAGTCGCGCTCCGAGCGACCAACCTCTGACGATACGCAAGAACAGAAACAGCCGGTCCTCAGCCTCAGGATCCAGCTTTGGAGATCAGATGGCGTTCTCGCGCAAGAACAGCCATATCGAGCCCGAAAACGGCGACCCAGTACGTTCTATGCCTACCACTGCATTGACCCCTTGGCCGTTGATCGATGTGGCGTCCAACGAGCCTGCGCACCCTCTCTTTGTCGCCGATAGCGCTGAACACATGAACGCGCAACAGGCTCTTGAGAAGGCGATTAGCAACACTGAAGGTAGCAACGAACCCCTGAAGCGGCGCATGTCGTCAAAGCTTCGATCGTTCACCAGTGGTCTACCTCTCTTACGTCGTCACAACACTGGAGAGACTAGCGCTGGTATTAGCGGTTCGCCGAGTGCAACGTCGCCAACAGCAGCTACAGCGCTTGCGGCTCACGATGAGGCTGGAGAAGGCTCAGAAATCAAGCGTCCGGACGACCAAGCTGTCGAGGCCTACCTGCTGAGCAACGCCCGCAAGTAAGTCATTACCTGCGAACCTATGCAACAGCCACTAACAGAATCCAGCGGAGACGAGTTCACCTCCCTCATGGGATGCATCTCGAAGCGCATTCCTTCCCCGACTGACTTTGATCATGAGGCTTCGGAGGCACAGGTGTCAGACTTGACCTCACACTTGCCGACAACCCTGCGCGCAGCGGTTAGACTGTTCCCTGAGGTCAAGCTTCTCACAGAGGATTACCAAGACATCGGCGTTGCTATCGAAATTGAGGGTGTACTGCACAACCGAAAGCCTCTGCCCGACACCGGTATTGATGTGATCTTCGTGGTAGACAACGGGTAAGTGCCTGCGTGGTGGGATCGACGATGCTAGCTGACATAATGTACAGCTACTATGTGACTTCGGCTTGTCTCGAGAGGTCACTAGATGCGGTTAATGGAGCCCTGGTAAGCCACCATCGCTGATGTTGCTCAGAAGCAATCTGCTCACTTTTTTAGTATCATCTTGGCCCTAAAGATCGACTGGCGCTGTACACTACTCACTGTACCCACCTTGATGTCACCGGAAACAGGCCAGAGGTGATTTATCCAATTCGACCCGTCTGTGCGGATGTCGATGAGATCTTCCGGGATTTGACGTCTAGAATCGCGCATTCTGGCTCACAACTCTGGCATCCGCCTCGTCCAAACCCCACCATGGGTGATGTCATTCTTGGCATCGCCGGATCAATGGCGGGCGAGCACCTCAAGGCTGGTCGAACTCATGTCATCGTACTGTCTCCTGCGGCTCATGTCTTGCACAAGGTATCGAAATCCTTCCCGGATATCTACATTCACCGCATCAATCCTGCGTTCCTCCCGTATCGCCGCGAACCAGAGTTTCAGGATACCATCTGTCTTAAAGACTGCTGCAAGAACGTTTTCGCTAGCAACTGGTCCAAGTACCAATCCACGTCCGGTCGCATCAAGCGCATCTTGAAGAATGCCCGCTCTGAGCAACCCGTTGGGGAACTGCTTGACTCGAAGGTCGAAATTCGGACCAAGGCAGGTTGCGAGATTCTCGTTGAGTCTGGAAGCAAAGAGATTCGTCGACTGTTTCCGGGACAAGTGCACACCCTCTTCGTCTGGATTCGCATCAATAAGGCTGAGACTCAGGGCGTCAACCTCAATTCAGACAACCCCATTCTCAACTCATGTCTTGACGCCAATGGGCTGAGGCAGGAGCTGCAGAACTGTGTTCGTGTAGGTGCCACCAAAGTAAACCCGCTTGACGTGCAGCTACTGCATCGCAGCTCACTCCACCCCACGCGATCTTGGATGTATACGGAGGCTCAGCTCATCTTCACTCGCGAGCTTGGTGGGCTGGCACCTCTCCTGGACACATCCATGGAGTTTTACAAGCGTCAGCTTTTCTGCAACCTTTCTCGAGTGTCGGCAAACGAGGCCAAAGCCGTGGCTGAAGCAACTCTGGACACTCTCCCCAAGAATCATGAACAAGCAAAGATGCTACTGGAGCGCATGTCGCAGGAGATCGAGCTTCACTTGGCGATCCGTAGGTATGAGAAGGAATACCGACAGAGGCTCCCGCTGTGCCCCGGTCCCACCGACGTCGAAGCATCTCACAAGTGGCTTCACGAGCTCTGGGCTCGTAGGAGGAACAAGCGCAGCGGCTCAGATGTGGCCTGATGCCTGCTCGCGAGCATATCGGTGATTCATCAAACTATGGTGGTGAAGGTCGGTGGTGGCTGTCAGCGCCTTTGTTTTTGGCTCGAAGCTGATGGCCAGAGGGTGGAGGAGGATACTGGCGATGCATGTGTTGGAGCAGCGAATCTCGCTTTCGACTTTGGTCCATTGAAGGCGAGTACGATCTGGAACGATCTGTAGGATACACTTCTGGCTATCACGTTCTGGATCATCTTCCACGAGGCGCGGAGGAAGCCGCAGGCTGCCCTGGAAAGCCCAGGCCACACCATCCCAGAATGGTTCGCTGGGGGAATTTCTTGGGCCCCGGATCTTCTACGGTCCCAATATTACGATGTACAAACACTATTAGATTATACCCCAGTGCGAACCATGAGCATCAAACGAGAGATCATCCTGCATACGAGATTGCAAATCTCCTCGTGCTGTTAATCGCCGAGCCGAATGACGTTTGCGTTTTTGCTTTTTCGTTTCATCTCACATGCAGGTCGTCGTTTCTTTCTAGAAGGAGAAGCCCCCGGTCGAACTCGGCTGAACACCCTCTTACCCACGGCAGGGCTCGGATGTGGGCAAAGAAGGCTGAGAAAAAGCAAGACGATGGTGCACCGGAGTTTGCTCCGTCCACAGCCCAGCCTGCATTCTGCGGCTCGATCGCGAGAGGGTTCGAAGGCCATTTCGCGGTTCACCGCTACCGCCGCTTAAACTGCACGATGCTAGCCTTGCATGTACATACGAAGCTGAGATACGAAAAACAAAAGATACATACATGCACGATGCACCGGTGCACGCGATCCCTGAGCGCCCAAATTTTTTCATGATTCCGTTCCCACAAAACGCAACACCATCGTGCATACATGCAGCAGCTCACAGACGCGCGCGAAGGCACAGACTGCAGACGTAGACAGGGTAAAAGCAGGTGCGCGCATTTACCACCCAAGGCCTAGTTTGTCCATGCTCCTCTTCCGATAATCGCGTGCCGCTGCGAGGAACAAGCACAATTACCCTGACTTTGGCGCCAGCGTATTAGGTCGCTGGGCAGCCCGGAAAGTTGCCCCGGCGCCCGGCAGCCAGTTACGCGTGGTAGTCGGGCGCGGCCGGTGTATGTAGGGATAAGGTTTGGGGCTAGCGAATGTGACGGGCAGAATTGACCTGACCTGACCTTGTAGATAGGATGGATGCCCAATGGCTGCTTTGGGGTAATGGGAATGGGAATGGGGGGTTTGGCGAAGCTTGAATACGGATGGGCATCGTACGATGGGCGTGGTGCTGGTAGGGGGGAAGATGGGCGAAGGGTATCCTGGGCAGCGTGGTGCGCGTGGGTTTAGTGCGTGGGTGGGTTGCATCAGACTTGTTCTGCGGAGATGGTAACTACCGGTAATGTATGTAGGTGTTTGCAAGGAAGCAGTGCATGTCGAGGGTTGGGGGTGGGAAGATTGCATAAGGCTCTCACCGCAAGAAAGTGATGTACGATGCATTGACCGAGAAGAGTAAGAGCATCGTATTGTTGTTCTGTTATGCAGAGATAACGAGGGCGGTCTCGTTATACTGACATTGTCACTTACCTTATACATTTGCTACTTGAGAAGTGGCTGCGCGGGAACGTTCAATCACGAGTGCTGTGACAAAAAGTACGGGTCTCCATGTTTATTAAGTAGAATTAGAAACTAGCTGTACAGATCCTATATACAAGAGAAGTGTGTCTGTAGCGCAGTGAACAAAGTAACAACATAAAGTGGGACTATCTAATGTGTACAACGCTTCAAGCAGAACGCCCCTGTAAGACTGTTGGAAGGGTGAGACATGAGAGATGCGTAGTGGAACGCTTCGTTCGACATTGGGCGGAGTCGTTATGATAGACCGTTGTACTGAAACTTAAGGGATATAAGTGTCGCCTGGAATACATCGACAGACACTGAAGACTTCAAGGAGATATACTGCATGCAAAACCGTGGCTAAAGCCAAAGGAAAAACCTCAAAACTTCGTCCCCACATCCTCAGGACCCCATCTCGAAACCCGTCCTACCCTCCGCGAAATAGAATCGCGATATCCAATCCCAAGTCCAATGCCTTTCTTCTTCTTCGGACTCGCAGTCTCATCTCTCATATCACTCATGCTGTGCACCTTGGCTAGCAAACTCATCCTCGGCCCCTCAAAGCTCTTGTTCGAGTTGACCATGAAGTTCGTCTGCACCGTCAAGGGCGAAGACGAAGGAGAAGAGTAATGGTTGTGAGGTGGAACCAGGAGTTGACCGGGGCCAGCCAAGGGTGTCTTGCGGCGGAGTTGAATCAAAGAGCGTTTCTTGAGAGGAGGCGGAGGGGTGAGATTGGGTCGCGGTGGAAAAGCGAAGTGGTGGAAAGGTGGTGTTGGCGGGCGCGAGGACATGAGACTAGATGAGCCGTTTGATGTGCGCTTTATCTCTTCCCACCCTTTGTTCCGGGGCGCGGAGGTGGTCGTTGGGGTTGGAGATGATGGCCGGACGGAGTAGGTGGATTGGGTTATTGTCTTGTCGCTATCTGCTCGTTCGGAATGTGGTGGTGATGGGGATGGGACGTTGGTTGAAGGAAGTGAAGTGTATGCGTATCGGTCGTCTTTGAGTGTGGGAAAGAGGATGCTACCAGTTGACCGAGGTGGTACAACTGCTAATGAATTCGCAGCTGTTGTGCTTGGTAGTGACGTTTCGTCGTCTGACAGTATTGTAGACAACATCGGTCGCAATGGCGTCCTGCTTACGGGTGCTGGCGCATATACATGTACCATTACTGAATCTGGTGTTTCCGATCTTACATCGACTGGCAGAAGAAGGTCATGTTCGATCGGGTCGGGAAGAGGGTCGTCCGCGTGTCCCTCCCTAATAGATGCTAGGATCTTACTCGCTCGACGCCAGGAAGGAGATATCGGTAGGACGTTCCTCGATTCGGAATCTGGCGAAGGACAGGCACGAAGGCTCCTTAGAGACCTTTGGCTCTTGACACTGCTTCGTCTTGACGATACCGAATGACTACGCTTCAGGCTGCAGCTATTCGTGATTGGACTTATAGTCGGTGATGGAATGACATGGTCGCGGAAGAGTGGTGTCAGAGACGCCGGCACGGGAGGAAGAGGTCTTTGCGGGCCCACAGCATACTTTGTCACCTCCGCAACAAGATCAGACCCAGGATCACTCGGCGAGGTAATCGCATCGCTACCTCTCCAGTCTCTAAAGGCGTCTTTGAAGGGGTCTTCGGGATCTCTGAATGGGTCTTCTCTCCATGGGTTGCCAGGGTCGCTGTAGTTTTGCGCACTGATGTTGAGCCAACCGCGAGGATCGTACTCGCGAGAGTTCTTCGGCACGCGAGGTGGTGTTCTACTTCCAGTTGACGGCAACCCACTTGCTCCACCAGACATGAGTGCATCATTCGATCCACTGCCACTGCTACCGCTACCATTCTCGCCAAGTGAAGGATCGTACAGCCACGCAACTCCAGGGTAGACACCGGACGAGCCACCGCTTCCAAGCTTTGCTGTATGGATGGCGTGGTAGCGGCGAGCGACGAAGATCGCAGCGACTATAGCAAGTAGGATTCCAGCTGTGCTTCCTATAGCGACCCCGGCAGTCTCCTCTGGTGTCAGTGGCTTCGAGGGTGGAGCTGCAGCGGCCTCTGTCTCGGTAGCACTGCTGGTGGGCGCGTTGGTCAATGTTCGAGTCCTGAGGGTTGTGTCGTAGGTGTTTATAGACGTCGAACTTGTGCGCGAGCTGACAATCGAGCTCTCAGTCCCTGTCTTCGTCTTCGTTATGAAGCCGCTGAGCGATGTAGGAGTAGAGAGAATAGCAGACGTGGCGGTGGATGAGAGAAGGATTGGTGTAAAAATATCGCGCAAGGTACCTGATCTGCTGGCAAGGAAACTACTCGCAATACTAGTCGGAATCAATGGAGCGCCAGAAGTAGAAGTTTGACCAGTTGCGCTTGAAGTTGAGCTGTTCATCCACCCAGTAGGTGCCGTTTGAAGCGGAGGTTCAAGCGGAAAAGGTAAAAGTCCCAAGTCAACGGAAGACGACGCGGAGATTCCTGAAGCGGGGGTTGATTGCGCAGTTGTTGGATCGCTCCCCCAAAGTGGTGCATCTGAGATCTCCGCCGCCTGACTAGATGTCGCAGTACTCAAGATCTGACTAGTCTCCGACACGATGAAGGTTTGTGTGAAAGAGCCAGATAAGCCAAAAGATGACGACATTGTAGCAGGGCTTGCGAGGCTGCTTGCTGCCGAGTACGTGGTTGTAAAAGCCAACGAGAAGGAGACGGTGCCGTTTCCTGGTGCCGGCAGAGATATCGACCCAGTTTTTTGCGCTGACGTAGTCGCAATCGTGCTTGTTGGCCTTGTCATATTACCGTTGATGGGATTAATGGGTATAGGCTGCGGTCGAGTCATGGTTGAAGAAGCAGTCTCATCGGGATTGGAAGATGCAGAAGCCGTGACGCTGCCGCTCGAGGTCGAGCTGTCGATCTGAGAGCTGCCAGATTGAACAGGTGCGGTTACATTCGATGCAGAAGTCTCGTTCTTTGTTGCGCTGGGCTGAGCAGAGCTTGATGGCATGCCCGCGACCACTGAGCTCATCGAAGCTACCAATGACGCTGTTGTAGAAGGGGTGCTCGTCCGCGAGAGTGAACTACTGGAGAGAGTCGGAATTGATGAGGGACCAATCACGCTGCTTTCGAGATGGGCTGAGGCGGAAGGGGTTGGTGCCGACGTGTCAAGTGGTGCATTGTCCTGACCCGATTGCAGATTGGCGTATCCTGTTGAAGCAGACGGTTGTGCTGGTTGAGATGCGACACTGATTGGCGTGGCTGCGTCTGCGATGGAAGCCGGAGATGCGAGGCTACTGCTTCCACTTCCAATGACAGCGGGAGCGGAGCTTGATGCCACCCAGCTATTAAGACTAGACACAGAGTGATGAAGTAGTCCTGTAGCCTTTGTGGGCTCACTAGTGACCTTTGCTTGTGAAGAGGCCGAGGCAATAGACTTGATTGATGTGGTCGCAGTAACATCGACGGTGGAGGTCGAAGATGGAGACTGCGAGGTCTGCGAAGGAATTATTACCAGGCTTGATACAGCCGTAGGAGAGACTGGAACGGAGTTTGTAATGGCAGGCAGAGGAATGCTTGACGCTCGTGATGAGTCCGCAATCGCCCATGTTGTAAACGGTGTGGATGTACTCGCGGTCGACTTGACGTCCGAAGTGACTGGTAGGACCTGAACTGTGGATGATGCGCGCGTAGAAGAAGAAGCTCCTACTGGAATCGAAGACGCTTGAATAGATATGGATGTTTGTTTTTGATCGATCAAAGAGGTTGATGATGGTGCAAATAGCTGCTGCGTTCCTGTGATGATAAGGGATATCGCCGCCGACTCGCCCGCAGCAGAAGATATTGCAGGTGCACTGCTACTTGCGCTACCATATGAGCTTGTTGTTCCATCTGAGTCTTGTTTCGTTGGATTTGGCTGGCGAGAGGAGCTGGTAGTCTGGATAGTGGCTGTTGACGGCGCGTTGATCTCGGACTTCGACGTTGTAATAGACTCCACTGTCGTAGAAGTGTAGAGCGTCGATGTAGCTGATGTGCTTAGGCTTGTTGGAATTATCTCTGATGTGCTCGTATCATTGCGAAAATGCAAATCGCGCCGTGGAATTATAGGAGATCTCTCGTTCGTGAGATGAGTATTAGAGAGGCTTGCAGCTGTATAACATGAGTCGATGTAACCATTTACCAACGCTCCACTTACTCTTTGGACCTGATTCAACATTACTTGCAACTACCAAAGATGCAGTGCAACACGCGAACAGAACACGCTCGAACCAACCCATTGCATGCTCACGAGATCTGAAACGAATGACTAGAGGAAAGCAAAGCAGAGTAACAACAACGAGGCGGAGGCAGCACGGCAGATACCCGGAGATGATGAAACAGACAACAAAGAGGCAACATATAACTATTGAATTCCGCGCCTCGTGCCCAAGGCCGTGGTCCTTCGTACGGTTGCACTTTGTTCGGACCGAGTTGGGTTAGGCGCGAAATGTACCTTGCATGGGTGCTGTAGGAACTGGGGCTGAGTCCACACACCTTGCCTACAACCCCGAGAATACTCACTGCATCAGCTATGATTAGCTCAGGATCCCGGCTGTGGCGCTCGATCGTTCGCATATTTTGCATCAGCCGCCCGATCGTTTATAACAGTTGTCAGAAGTGGGCATTTTGGTTGCATTACCCATGATGTGCTGCGCAAAATACCTTCTATTGACTTCGCTAAACTGACAGAAGAAGCGCTGCTGACTGCCGACCCCGAATATTGACGTGGCGCAGCCCTCTCCAACCTCTGCCAACTCAACGGCGTCTGTGCCACTGATTCGGCTTCGCGGAAAAATTCCAACGAACCTCTCGAGATTGCGGCGGGGCGTTGCTGGTTGGAACATGCAGTTCTCACTAACGCTGCTGGCCCCAGGCGGTTGGAACGGGTACGCTCCGTACCGCCCGTAGGAACTGCCGCTCTTCCCTGTCATCACCGTGTCGAAGGAATCGTTCATGCGCCGGTGGAGCCATCACCGGTGACGACCTTGGCTTGGCTATCTCGAATCAGCTCCCCGATCCAAAGAGGCAGTGCTCGGATAATGGGAGTAATTGCTGGGCCAAGAATCAGTTGCCCACTCTTGACTGAGACTATCTGGTTGACCATGGCCTCGGCTACGTCTTCTGGCTCTAGGATGTTCGCGCGCACGCTTTTCAGCCCCGCCGCAAGTGCCTCGTGTGAGGTGATTGCTGACTTGGTCCAGTTCGGATGGACCATGGAGGTCTGGATCGTTGGACACTTGTAGCGATGCTTAATTTCTTGTGTTAGGCCTTCATGGAAAGCTAGAAGCGCCGCCTTGGTGGCACTGTAATCCACGGCACCTGCGAGAGCGACGAAGGAAGCAAGACTTGCGACGCCCATGATGTGGCCTTTCTTCTTAGCGAGCATGTCTGGGAGAAATTCTTGGACGGTGCTCCAGTGACTCAGGAGATTGATCTCGAACATTCTGTTGAGGTTGGCTTGGGGGATGTCTTTGACAGTCCACGCGTTACCGATGCCGGCATTGTTGATCAGTATGGATGGTGAGCCCAAGTCGGAACGAATGGCTTCCGCCGCCTGATGGATGTTGTCTCGCGATGTAATGTCACATTTGTAGTATCGTACGAGGGCAAGCTCATCTAAGATCATTAGCTCGAAACACGGCGATCCTGTGCCGCAACGTACCTTTAGTAAAGATTTCTGACAGGGGGCTAACGTCGAGCACCGCGACCTTGATACCATGAGAGGTGAGCTTCTTCACCACACAGCCTCCGATGCCCGCCGAACCACCCGTGACTACAGCGACTTCATTCTTCCAATCCCAAATAGACTTGTCGGTCCTCCAGAGCCATCGCCTTTCGGCAAAGCGATTGAGCACCGAGTTGAAGTCTACAAGGGCCCATATCGGCAACGCCCACTTAAGGTAGTAATGGAGGGTTACAAGCTGACTGCTGGAGAGACCGAGTTTCCCACCAAGTCTGAAGTACTCGGGTTTGGCGACTCTGAGCAGCACGGCTGCCAGTGTGAGCAAGGCACATCGGATCATGATGGGGCTGGTAGATGGGGCGAAAGTGTTTATTGAAAATGGGGGCTGATGGGGTCGAGGCAGGTACTATGCAGGTACTGATACGAAGTTTGGGGGCTTCCAAAGAAGGGCGAAAGATAGGCAAACGATTGAACGCCTGTGCAAGGCAGAAGTAAATGCCCAAGAAGTCATATGTACTCTTGAGGTTTGCTGGGTACCGAGGCACGTAGGACTAGCCTGGACAAGCGTTGTAGATCATGTATCGGAACTGGGGCCGCCATTCGCTAGTCCCGCGACGCGATATTGACGATTGAAATATACAGGATTGAACATATCTTCCTAACGACGCCACTGTCGCAATCAACGCATGTCGTTCGCTCGTCCGCACAGTGTCAGCGGTACGCTTACGCCGTTTCTGTATCCCGCCTTCCTCCACGTGCCACTTGCCTCGGCAGCGCGCAGATGTCCACTCCGCAAACGATTCCCGCTACAGCTCAGATGCAACTCCACGGCTGCTGAGCAGTCCGATGCGAACCCGAACGCGCAGTCCTCGCGATTAGATCCCACGGCGGACGACTATTCCCTCACGCCTTTTGCCGACCGATGCATTCTTACCGTTGAAGCTGGTGGCGGCGGTCACGGCTGCGTCTCGTTCTTGCGCGAAAAATACATTGAAGAAGGGCCTGCAAATGGCGGCGACGGTGGCAGTGGAGGCAACGTCTACATCCAAGCAGTCCGCGGTGAGACGTCGTTACATAAGCTTGCGAGACGGCGACAGATTAAGGCGGGCAGAGGGCGCAATGGACAGGGCAAGGTCAAAGGTGGCGAGCGGGGGACCGACGTCTTGATCACGGTGCCTGTGGGGACCATCGTGCGCGAGCTACAAAGACATGATCCGGTGGCAATCATGGAGGAGGAGCACTGGAAGATGGAGCAAGATGAAGAAGCGGAGGAGCTGGAGGAGGGACAACCCAGCTACAGGAGAGATCGATGGCTGGTTTACCCCGGCACTATACCTTCAGAGCTGAGCAGGATCAAGTTTCCCAAGCTCCCTCCACCGCGAAGATCGCACCTCGCAGCCCTCGAGCCGGAAGCGCCCATGTGGCTGGACTTGGACAAGCACATGGAGACGCCTATGCTGATTGCAGCCGGAGCGATGGGCGGCCTGGGCAACCCGCACTTCATGACGCCGTTCAACAACAGACCGAAGATGGCAACGCGCGGAGACGAAGGACTGAAGATATCACTACAACTGGAATTGAAGATTCTCGCAGATCTGGGACTGGTAGGGCTGCCCAACGCTGGAAAGAGTACGCTCCTCCGGGCCCTGAGCAACAGCCGTGCGCGAGTCGGCAACTGGGCCTTTACGACCCTCCAGCCGAATGTCGGCACCGTTGTCCTCGACGACCACAAGGGGCGACCGCTTGTCAGGTCACGCAGACCAAATGGAGAGCTGCGCGAGAACTTTACCATTGCCGATGTGCCGGGTCTGATCGAAGATGCGCATCTAGACAAAGGGCTCGGACTAGGCTTCCTGCGACACATTGAACGCGCCGCAGTCCTCGCCTTCGTCATCGACCTCTCCGCCGGTGACGCCGTCGCAGCGCTCAAGCTGCTCTGGCGCGAAGTGTCCGAATACGAGACGCTGCGCGGAAAGGAACTCAACGCCGAGACGGAGCGCAGGATGGTCACATACACGCCCGCTGGCAAAGCACCACCAAGCGACGCATCCGACCTCCTCGACTCGCCGCATCTGGATCCTTCGCCGAAGCCTCTTCCTTTCCTGAGCACAACCCCGATCTCGTCGAAGCCCTGGTTCGTTGTCGCGACAAAGGCCGATTTGCCGGATACGCAGGTCAACTTTGAGGCTCTTCGCGCGTATCTGGAAGAGGTGAGCAAGGGCGCGCAACCCCATCCTAGCAACCGCAAGCATGCGTGGCGGCGCAATGTTCAGACTGTGCCGATTAGTGCGATACAGGGTGAGGGTGTACAGGTCATTCCGCAGTTGGTGATGGACTTGTTGGAGGAGTAGTGTAGTAATGATACCCTTGTCTCCTCTCATTTGACATGTGTACGCATCATCTTTGGTGCAGGGCCTGGGAATTTGCGCGGTATCGTACCGTATTGGCCACTGGCCCTACACCTTAAGACCGATATGCCAAGATTTGCAGAGTCTTCAAATATCGCTGAACAGAAAGGCACCTTGGTAATATACACCGTGTCTACCTCGTGAGGCTGTTGTTGCAGAATATCGGAGACAACTGCAGCGTTTGCGTTTGCGCTCATGACCATCATTTTAAACGCGCATTCCTTCCTATGTAGTTATGTAGTTGAGTCGGAGTTGGAAAGAGCGACCGTGACGACCGACCATATTGAAGCGCTACTTCCCGATACGCAGTTTCGCGAGGCGCGAGTGGGGTGGAGGGGTAAACATCGCAGTCATTTCCACTTGCCCAAGTTTCTCACACGCTTACATTCTCTCTACGGTGCTGTCGCATTCACTGTGCGCCTCAAAACTGACTTTCATCTCATATTGAGACACCAGAGAGCTTTTCGTGCATGTCGTTCACTGAGAGGCTTCAGATGCAATCCCCTTGGTACTTCCAAACGATGCAGACAGCTGACAACCAAGTTCAACAACTAGTAAAGAACGCCGCGAACAGCACCATCGAATCCTGCGAAATCGAAGATCGCTGGAAGCATATGCGACAAGTCCAACTATAACGCGCTGGATTTATGTACTGATCTTACCAGCAAGACAACTACCCTGCAAGCAGATGCATCCGTATAGCCAGACGTCGTTGTCGCCAGCTGTATACATCAATCTCCGTCCCTCGCGTCGATCGAAGAAAGAGATAGTGAATATGTCCTGGGTGTCCTGTACGCTGTTAAGACAGAGCGACACGAATAGTCGCAATAGCAGATATTGCTATCACAGCGGGCGAAGCCCGCCTATGATAGCCATTATGCAGCTTCAAGACACGCACAGGTCACCCGATGACTTTCCAAAGCTCTGGTGGTTCGAGCGTGGTCCACTTCCAAGTTATGGTGTTCCCGACCGCCGCCAGCCCAAATCCAGCTTTTCGCGCGCCCCAGCGCGCAACATCGGGCGCCCTATGTTATATACTGATCTATTTTTCTAATCCTCGCCTTCGGGCATTTGGTCAATTTGAAACGATACAGAGAAGATTAGCATGGCCCCTGCACTAAGGATGACACGCTCAATCAAAGAGAAGCTACCATTTTTTTGCTCTTTGATCTGACTCCTCCGCTAAATCGGTGCGTGGAGACCCGGGTTCGAGTCGAGCCCAGCTCTTCTTTTTGCGCTCTTTTTGCTGCGCAAGGGTCCAGCGACCTTTCTTCCCGCACAATAATGATCAAAACACCATTTCCTCTGCACTTCACATTGTTCTACATTCGCAAACACAGATATCGCATTGCAAATCCCTCCAAAATATCCCATCTACTCCGGCGCCAGATCCAGAGCAAAAAAACGGTAGCTTCTCTTTGATTGAGCGTGTCATCCTTAGTGCAGGGGGCCATGCTAATCTTCTCAATGGGGGGCGCCGCTGCGCGGCAGGCTGGCAGAGGCGGCGGGCTCGCTGACGCTCGCCAGCCGCCTCGCCCTGTACTCTGACTGTGTCGGCTCAGCGTTGTCGCAGACCACGCCCTGGCAGCTACCATCCTAGTATTACCGCCTTTTGGGTTGTCGCGGCGCTGATGTAGGCGTCTGGACTAATCTTTTAGCGACAAGATATGCGAATAGAACCTTGGGAACCGGGCACTCGGTGCAGGCTCGCGGGTATAGCGCCTTCGTTCCATCCATTTTGCGCGCCTCTTCTGCGAAATAACCAAGTCACACTACCGTAGTATCAGCGTCGACTCAAAACTCCTCTTCCTCAGAAACACCCATAAACGGAAGCAGTCAATGGAAAAACTATCCACATTACAATCATGTTTCTCAGGAGAGACGACGCAACGCTCAACGGGCTCGCACAGGATTTGGATTGCTCCCATCCCCGTACCAGCGGCAGTCAACATCGCAACACCTCTTTCGAGGTCTCGTTGATGCGGATTACCGAACCTGGCGTCAAAGCACGCTTGGAGTCAAACCTGGGATACATTCTGTGCTGCTGTTCGCATAACCCTAGCAACTACATGCATCGTAATCCTTCCTTTTAGGTATGTACAGCGTCGATGTAGTCGCCCGGCGTAGAATTTGTTTGCGACGATACCTGCCTATGATAACCCTCGTATTTCTTCTCTCTTAGCTCTTGTAGGGTCTGAATTGCTCCTGTCTCTTGTCGGCGGCATCTCGAAGAAACTGGCCCAGCTCCGTACATATCAGCCAAACGCCTCGAAAGTGTTTCTCATGGCCTAGTCCTGGATACGGGGCCCCTGCCACTTCTCTCCAGCATCCAGTGGGTGGCGAGCGTATCCACGTTGTGGCCGGCCGATACGCTTGTTGGCGGGATACCAGCGACAAGGTCGCAACTTTTCAGTATCCAAGCCGTCAAGCCAGCCGACGAGCCGGCTGAGTCGTAGGATAGATTTATCGGCATTTCCATCCATCATCAGCCAGGGCCATCCTTCCAGCTTGTCGCCGCCCCGAATGCCGCTGATTTTGATGCCGAGACGATCAACGGGGTCGTTGTATGCGAGACGGGCACCAGAACCGCGAGCGATAGTATGTGGGTGACTTTTACCCATGACGCTCCAGATCTGGAATTCGTGATTGGCTCTGCCGCATACATAGATTTGGGAACCTTTGATCTAACAGGGTCTCGAGAGGCCCGGGAGCACTTCATAGACTTCTAAGACTTTCCCCAACGCCCCAGGAATCCGTGAGGACCTCCAGGCTTAGCCGATATATACCAGGATACGCTCGTATTGCTTTTTGAGAAACGGGCTTTGCCGTATACATCGCATGAGAAAGTTGCGTTCTTACGGGTAATATAGGAGCTGAGAGCACTTCATCGTGTTCTGGAGAGTTATTTGACGCCTTGACAGCCATCGATATGCCCCGACATGCAGTACAGCACGAGGAGGCTTGCACTATGGTTCTAGAGCTCGCTGCCGCATTTGAGGATTCAGACCAAGTCTGTGACGACCAAATGGCCAAGAGGAAGGCCCTTCAGACCAAGTGCACCAGGTATGAACAGCTCCTTCGCGTTACGCTTTCATAGGACGTCAAGCTACGCTCTCGTGTGACTGACATGAGCGCCTTCTTTGAGTCTGTTTGTTGCCTTTTCTATGACCCCCGAACACAGCCTTGGCCTCAAAGAGGCACGCTGCCGTTCTCTTTCTAAACGCTTTCTCGATGCTCGGATCCTCTTGGTGATGCGCATGCAAAAGGCATTTGCTCGCATCCGAAGCCTGGACACTGTCGTCAATATCAAAATGAATACCTTCAACAAGCTGCGAGCCGAGCACACATCCACATCGTCATCTTATGACAATGCTATCAGCACCGCCGAAGAACTTGCGAAGGCCACCAGGAAAAGCTCGACGCAGCCGCGGAGCTTGCGGATGTCAATCACGACAAATATGTCGTAGCCAACGACCTTGCGAATGACAACAAGAAGAAGCTCGACGCAGTCGAGACGCTTTCGGGTGCCAACCACGACAGGCTACATGTCATATGTATTGGATAGAGTATACCAATCATCTCGGTAAAGCATACCGGCAAGAAGAAATTGAATAGGCGCGCTGCGGTCTACATTGGCACAAAGATAAGAGTTAGCAATGTCTCAAAGGTAATGTAGACTTCTGGAGGATACCCTTCCGTTATTCCCTACAGGAGTTATGCGACAGTCTAATCATCCGACAACATCTCCATAGTGTGGCGAAACCGTGTTCGAAAGCCTACATAGACATACATACATCGCAAAACTATCGCACAACAAAACCAGACTCCATTTTCGCGGGCCTACCGCCCATCGTGGGTATCATAACTGAACTGAACGGACGCATGAAAGCAAACCCTAGATACACACCCGATCTCACTACCATTTCCACACTCCATTTGCCTACTTCTCCACCTTCGCGACCTTCTTCTCTCTCTTCACTTTCGGCTCTTTCTTCACTTTCTTCAAGTTCGGATCAAGCCCGCATTCAAGAAGAGAAGTCAGAATAGGTCCCTTGCACTGTTCCCTCGCCACGCCAACCTTGCGCTCCAGCTCAGCGCGCAGCAGCGTCATGGAATTATCCTGCGGCTCAGGAGTGCAGAGTTGCTTGTACGACGCCTTGATCTCTGCTATGTGAAATGCGATAGCTTGTCTGCCAATCTCCAACAACGCTATCTTCTTGGCTTTCCAAGCGGCTTCAAACTGGTCGACCATTTTGTCGTAGGGACTGTTGTTTCCGCATATGCGCGCTTCCAGTGTCTGCATCTGCACCTCTTTCATGGTCAACTTGCCTATCGGTTTTGCCTTTAATGTGGCAGTGTAGACCGGTTTCATTTTTTGGGGAAAGAAGTCACCGTTGCCGTCTTCAGTAAGACGTCCTCGGAACAGCCGAAGGAATATCATGAGGTCTTTGCCGACAACATTATACATGTTGTAGAGCTGCGGTTTCTTGTCGGCGTGGTTCGCTCCGAAAGTGTTGTTGTCGAGTTGCTCAGCGGCACCGAGAAGGGCCTCCAGGAAATTGTCAACGTCTCCTTCTAGTTGGTATGCAAGGCTACCCAGCCTGGAGGATACTTCCGCTATGAGATGCTTAAACAGTGGGTCGAGCGTCTGTTGCACAGTACGCAGAAGCAGAATGTTCCAACTGCACTCCGGCTGTCCCCTTATTCGATGGTTGCCTAGTTTCATCAAGTAGGTTCGTACGGCGTTGCCGTGCAACTTGCGCCAACGATTGAGGTCACGAGCTTCGTTCTTCCAATCGCCGACTGCTTTTCTCATGGTCTCAATCATCGGATCGATGAGTTGTGTTTTGACGGCGTCGAGGAAGACTTCGAGCTGCTTCAAGAATCCGGATGCGTAATCTTCAAAGTTGAACCTGGGCCCTGACTGCACCGGTGTGGAAGTCGTGCTGCAAGCGAGCTGGATAAAGCTGAAGAGCTCGGGTAATGTTCGGTTGTAGAAGCGTAGTAGATCTTTCTGCAGCCTGTCGTTGGCTATGGCGGCGAGTTCCTTGCATAAATTGGGGATTCCGGTGGACTCAACGGACAGCGGCAGATAGTCGTCGGTATACTGGTGGTAGCCCTCGACATGCTGCATGTAGTCTATGGCCGAAGTCGTCATAACTGTCAAATTTTCGTTCTGGTACTTTGCGAATCTTTTCCTAAGCCTGTCGCTGATGCGACGACCTCGTTCTCTGGCACATATTTCGTGTTCTTCGAGGGTGATGAAAGCGATCTCGCGGGCGCAGTGGTCTCTTTGCGCGTAGTCTGTTGGCGCGTAGCTGTCTTTCTTTCTCCGAGTTTCTACTTTACGTTCGGCTAGCCAGTCGAGATCAGCTATCTCATGTTGGTTGAATGATGCATCTTTGCGATCCGAAGGGTCCAGATTGGACTCTCCCTTTGTCAAGACGATGATGATGCGTTGATCGGGTCTCCTTGTAGTACGGTCCTTGATTAAGTGGTCAAGAAACGCGCTGTCGCCAGCTCGCGTGATTTCTTCGGCGACTACGACTACTTTGCAGTCCTGGAGATATCGGTTCGCTTTTGTTTCACGGTCCTATCAACATACGGTTAGCTTGAGCGATGTCAACCTGGGAAGGGCACAAGCTTGCCTTGTTGACGTCCTGTAGTCCAGGGCAGTCGCCGATTGAGTAGCGAATCCGAAAGTCACCAAAGACCTCAATCCTCTCTACGAACGACGAAGGGTTGAAGCCAAGCTTCGTGTCGTCCATCTTTGTTTGGTCGTCGCTGAATTGCGCAAGTTCCTGCCGAAGCTCGGTCATATTGGTAGCGTAGATACCCTGTGCGGACATGTTGACGATTTTCTGGCGTCGTTCCTCAGCCCATTTGACGCATTGGTCGAACGCATCCTTTTGCTTCGCTACTGATGGTACTTTGGACGGCAAGTCAAATCCTAGGAATGATGAAATAGATTCGATCGATGCGAATTCGGGAGGTCGCTGAACAGATTTTGGAGCGCATTGATACTGTCTTGTCCTTGTTCGTCGAACTCTAGGAGCTGTCCTTCGCACATTTTCAGGTTCGTCGCAAGATTGGCAAGATGCTGTTGTACTGAATCTCGACAGTCGGTCTTGGCGGATACCTCCAGTCTTACCTCGTAGGGGATTTGTACGTGCGCTCGGCGTGGTGAATATACAATTGGAATGCGAGTTGTTGCCACGCCGGACGCCGCCTGGGAAAGTTAGATGACATGATGCCTTGAGGAAGTCGTGCTTACCGATCTTGCAATCCCATCGATGCCCAAGATAGCATCTATTAGTTTCGATTTCCCTTGGCCAGTCTTGCCGACAACTGCCACACGCTCGGGTTCGCTTTGGTACTCATCCATTACCTCGTTGAGCTTGGGTCTGAGACTTGCGGCTAATTGAGGGTCATTATCTGGCTTGACAGATAGCATGAGGTCTTGTGGGATCGCCAGACAGGCCCTCTCAGCTTTCAAGAAGTGATCATGGTAGGCGATTAGATCGGGCAACGTTTCCGTTGCTGGATCGTGACGAATAAAGTCCGTCGCGTTACGCTTAAGATATTCTTGATGTCCTGCTATTCTCCGTTCTACCCGCCGTTTTGCGGATGGGCGTACTGCCTTTGACTTGGCTAGCTGTGCTTGCTCAGAAGCTGTGGTGGTCAGTGTCTGCACAGAAGCTGATTTAAACAGAACCAAAAATGTGATACTCACCTGGTCTTTTCTTCGGGTTCACCATGTTGGCCCGAGAGGTGCTTGGTTGGAGAACGGACGCCACCATCTCAGATGGTTCAAGGCGTTACGATCGCGACTGTGGAGGTCTACTATTACTGCAACGAGGAGTTAGCAATGTGTGCGGGAGGACAGATGTCGCACGCTCTGCACATGCTATATAGGTAAATATCTGTGCAAGAAAAAGCTTTGGCTGCAGCGGCACATGATGCGATGAGCAAACGCTGTCTGAGACAATACATGTTTATTGCCGTAGATGTTTGACTTGTTGGTCCTATTGCAGAGATCGGGCAATGCTTCCATCGTCCATGGACCAGTCTTGTCGTCTCATATGTCTTGCCGGTCGATTTGTCCCAGACGTTGTCGTGACACCAAGGCCGGAATGCTCCATGGTCTGTATGGCACGCTCGTTCGCGCCCACAGCCTCGCGCACGGCTAATGACAGGTGACAGAACTTTAAAACTTCCCGCACGGTTCGGCATGGCAGAGAAGAAAGGGAACATGAGAATACATACCGGAAGCGAGTGAGATTTTTAAAGCAGCAGATTCCTTTGCTGTGCCGCTCGCGATGCTAGGGAAGGAATGATATGTGCGCGCCGATGGTCCGGAGGGGTTGAAAGCGATTTGTCGCTGATAAGACGCGTCGCGCATGCACCCAGGCGGCGTAGTACTTGGCGTGCGTGCAAAGACGGTCGCGATGAAGGGAATGAGGGACGCGCCCAGTGTATTATAGAATCTGACGTGCGAATGCCGCGAAAAAGAAAGCAACGGTGTGGAGGGGAAACCTGGAAGAGGTGGTCGCAAGGTTCTGCGCGTCGAGATACACGGTCGCACTTTCTAGCTGCAAGCAACACCAGGTACTAGCAGGAGACGAAACGGTACGAAGGCAGGTGCGCTTCTCTACCTTGGGGTTAAGGGGTTTCAAATACTCCACCCTCGGTATCCTCTAATGAAAATGACATCAATTTCTTCGCCGTTAGACGATGGCAACACAGCGCGAACCCCCAGCGCGTTCTCCCGGCCGTGCGCTAAACCCTGGTCTCAAACTCAATGCGATCAACATGCCGCGTGCAGATGGCAGTGAAGACACCCGTTCAGCGGTCGTCCAGGTGAACATCCCAATGGCCCGATTCTAGAAGAAGTGAGATTGGATCACCTAGGCAACATCCCACGCCATGTTGCAATGGGTGAGTTCGAGATTGCCGGCCAATACTTGTATCCTGTCCGCTAGTGAAGCCCCGAAAGTTTCTTCGATGTCGAATGTGACAGCTTCTTATCGAACTTGAACCGTTTACCTAGCAATCGTTGAGTGCATCCTCTCGTGAAGACGCTTGGAGTGAGCGAAAGCGTCGCGACCAGCAGCACGCATCGACGTTGCTGCCGCTGCTGCAAAGAGCTCGGGCCAAGGAACGCGAGCGGAGCTTCGGTCGGCCCGGGCATAGCGCGCTTTGTGGTATCAGTTCCAGAAACTTCTGCCTCGAGCTCCCCTCTACATAATTCGCATGAACACCTTGACTCCTTCAACATTCTGCACCTGCGCCTTGATTTGTCGCTTGTAGAGATCCGTTCCAGCTTGAGCGCTACAATTTGTAAGTATTCACCACCCTTTACCAATCCTTGAATGATGAGACACAAGCTGGCACCAGTCTGAGAAGACTTGTACTCTTTATATGCGGATCAGCTGCTTAGACTTACGAGTCGCCCTCTGACAATATCCCACTACACGTGTTTCTCTACATAGTATGAGAGGCCGAAGCTAACAACTTCTTGACAGAGATTGGATCGAGATCGAGCGCGCCGCCGAACATCACCATGGTCCTCCACAATCCGAACAACTGGCATTGGGTCAATAAGGATGTGTCAGGATGGACGCGCGAGTATCTTGACAAGGAGCTCACGCAAATATCGGCTGAGCAGGATGGCGTCACAGCCAAGATCGACAAGGTCGTTAGCATGGATGGAGACGTAGACGTGAGCCAACGCAAAGGCAAAGTGATCACCATCTTCGACGTGAAGCTGAAGCTCGAATACTCAGGTACGTCCTTTCTCAGCTGCCTTTCTTGGTCGCGCTGACTCAGTCGGCAGGCAAGAACAAAGAGGGCGAAGAGGCTAGCGGCACCATTACCGTCCCGGAAGTCGCTCACGACACGGAGGAAGACGAGTATGTCGTATGTTCCCTTCGCTGGCACCGTCTTTTATCTCTTCGCACCCGCCAGTGTACACAGTCACTAATGTCTTGTCACAGTTTGAGGTAGACGTCTATTCCGACGAAGCGAGCAAACAACCCGTAAAGGACCTAGTACGATCCAAGATCCTACCGCAACTGCGAACAAGTTTCACAGGGCTTGCGCCAGCGGTCATGGCGGAACACGGAAAGGATATCCAACACGCGCCAGGTGCGAACCCCGGTAGCGGCTTCTCGGCCCCAAAGGTATACTCGAGCTCAAGCGTGAACAAATCCACCTCCCAGACTGAGGCATCTGGCTCTCAAAAGAGCAGCTCTGGTGCTGTTGTCAATGTGACCACTATCACCGACAGCACAGAGTTCCGCACCGACGCGGCGAACCTGTACCAGACCTTCACGGACCCTCAGCGCATCGCTGCGTTTACACGGGCACCCCCGAGGAACTTCACAGGTGCGAAGCCTGGCGGTACCTTTGAGCTCTTTGGCGGTAACGTCAGTGGAGAGTTCACCGAGCTCCAAGAACCCACACACATCGTCCAGAAATGGCGACTTGCGCAATGGCCTGCGGGACACTACTCGACACTGTCGATATGGTTTGATCAAAACGATGTTGATGCCGTGACGGTTATGAGGGTCGAGTGGAAGGGTGTACCAGTTGGTCAGGAGGAGCCCACTAAGACCAACTGGGACCAGTACTACGTGCGCAGTATCAAGACGACCTTCGGCTTCGGTACAGTATTGTAGATGAGCGTCCACCTCGAATTGCATCTCAGCATGACATGGAGTAAGAGGCGTTGGAGGACTTGACGATTGCATACGAAGTGACGGATACGAATACACAACGATTGTGATGGCATGAGCCCAATGAGATATGTTCTGAACACCGATTCCGACCCATCGCGTGATGTCCCTTTTCCTTGACATGGAATTACAAGCCGTCTTATACAATGATTACACCGAAATGACTTCTGACGCGGCGCCGAAGACATGAAGCTGACCGGTGATGTTCGGTTAAACGGTGCTACCTACCTGCCCATATAGGATTAGATAGTCTGCCACTATCGCCATGACCGCTATCAAGCCATGCAAGCTTGCACAAGCTCTTGCCAATGCGCGCTTGGACGGAATAGCGGGGTAGCTTTTCGTAGCGTCTCACTCAATTAACAAGGTAACAAGCTCCGGTCAGATTGATGGACTCTGTCCGCCCGTATGGGCCGTATCGCATTTTGTATATGTAGATCGCATGGAATCAATCCATTAAACGCGTATAACTCTAGCGATGGCTGCTCTAAAAGACATACTCCAAAGAGGCTTCGCCCATCGCGCGTCGCGAAAAGCAAACCGCAAATACCGAGCTACACCATGACGTCGCCGGTACGAGCAACAGGCTACGCGGATAGCCACGACCCCGGCCTCCGGGACCGAGATGAGCAACTTCTTAGCCTACATGGGAAGGTGAGAGTTGGCTATCGCGACGACTGCGGGCCTTTCTAGTCGGACCTGCATAAGCTTCCAGAATAAAAAGTGAAAGTGCTCGTCATACTGCTCTGTCTCTGTTTACCTTCGCTCTTTCCCACTCACTCAAGCATCGAGTCGGACAGAAATAGCTCGTCGCCTCACTAAGACAAGACTTGCAATTGAACCGACGATGAAGAGCGCGACAGGAAAGCTTCTCGCTGCGCCTTTGTTGGCTGCGGGTGCTCTTGCGCAATTCGTACCTGCGCCAAAGGATCTTATTACTAAAGAGGGCTATGCGAATGTTAGTGTACGGTACAAGGAGGTACCTGCTGGCATCTGTGAGCTTGACCCGAGTGTCAAGAGCTACAGCGGATATGCAGATGTGGCTGAGGACCAGCATATCTTTTGGTGGTTCTTCGAGGCGCGCAACCAGGACCCGACTGATGCGCCGTTGACAGTGGTAAGTTAAGACGATTTTTGGATACAATTTCAAATACCGCGAGCTCCTTTCTAACATCATGGAATCATACTGACATTGTAACAGTGGATCAATGGAGGCCCAGGCTCCAGCTCCATGATCGGTCTTTTCCAGGAATTGGGACCATGTGGTATTGGCCCTGACATGAAGCCGTTCAACAATCCGTACTCGTGGACGAATGCAAGCAACATGCTGTTCATCGATCAACCAACAGACGTCGGGTTCTCATACTCTATTCCTATCCCCGGCTACAGCGACGGCAGCACGATCGTTCAGCTGCCGAATGCGACCTGCCCAGACTACGCTGAGAACTATGGAACTTGCGGAACATACTCTAAGCCGGACCACACCTTGACCGCCAACAGCACCGAGAGCGCGGCGCCAAACATGTGGAAGACACTACAAGGATTCATGGGCGCATTCCCCCAGTACTCGCGCAACGGCTTTAGCTTCACCACCGAGAGCTACGGCGGCCACTATGCACCCGTCTTCAACGCCTACTTCCTCGACCAGAACGCGAAGAACATCAGCGGCGCACACAAGATCGAGCTCGAGAACGTGCTAATTGGTAACGGGTGGTTCGATCCACTTGTCCAGTACCAGGCCTACTACAACTACTCCGTCTTCCCTGGCAACACCTACGACTACGACCCGTACAACGACACAGTCAAAGCTGAGTGGTACAACAACCTCTACGGCCCTGGAAACTGCGTAGACCGCACCAAGCAGTGCTACGAGACGGGAATCAACTCGGTCTGTGCCGCCGCAGATGACTTCTGCTACTCCAAGGTCGAGAACCTCTACGACATCTACAGCGGACGCGACGAGTACGACATGAGGTTCTTGACGCCTGACCCGTTCCCCTACGACTACTTCAGGGATTATCTGAACCTGCCGGAGGTGCAGCAAGCGGTTGGCGCGTTCCAGAACTTCTCGTCGAGTGCCAGCACGGTCTCTGCGGCGTTTGGCAACACGGGTGATGACGACCGTCCATCTGGCACCATCGCTGCTTGCCAGAAATTGCTCGATGCTGGCGTTCAGGTTATGCTGTACTACGGCGACGCCGACTACAACTGCAACTGGCTCGGCGGTCAGGTGGTCGCAGACATGATCAACGCAACTGGCTACTCCGAGGCTGGATTCACCAACATTACCACCAGCGACGGTATCGTGCACGGCCAAGTCAAGCAGGCTGGACTTTTCTCTTTCCTCCGCATCTACGAGTCCGGCCACGAGGTACCTTTCTACCAACCTCTTGCGTCGCTTGAGATCTTCGAGCGCGCGCTTAAGCAGGTCGACATCGCGACTGGTAAGGAGAAGTTTGCCGCGGATTACTTGACCGTGGGTACACCGACAAGTGACTACAGAGAGGGCAATGCCACGATCCAGTTCGAGGTGACGCCGGCTAACGCGACATACAACACTGCGCTCAACGGACCGGACCCTGAGCCTACCTGGGCGGCTGGCGAGGAAGTCGCGAAGCGGTCGGAACTGAGAAAGCGGAATGTTGGGAGGTTTGGCAGGCCGAAGATGTCGAGGGGCGGCAAGAGGGCTGCTTAGTGAGATGTTGGGAGGGTAGAATCGGCTCTAATGCATCTTCACATGAACGTTGAATAAAGAAGCACATGTCATGCCATGGTCTTATCACTCGTCTAGGCCTATAGTGGGGTTTGTAGTATCGACGAGCTCCAACGTCATCAGCGTCCGATTGTCAATCATCGACTCTGCAGTGAAGCGACCTCATGCATCCTTTTGCTTGATCAGCGCGTAGCAGCTGTGTGGGACCGAGCGCTCGCGGGTTCAGAAAGTCTACGCGAAGCCGTTGCAAGAGCGTTCCAGTTGTCGGAGTGGGGAGGTGGTGGTGCGGGAAGACCCCTGCTAGCGGGCGTGTCGCATGAACCTTGGTGTTGGGAGAGGAGGTCGCATCAGCATTCACGGCCAGCCACGACGGAGCAGGACCACGACGACGACGCGCCCCTCCCGCTGGCTACACGAGACGGCCACGACACTCGGCACTTGGCTGCCCTGCTCTACCACCGCAACGCCGCAATTGACGCCGTCGCGCCTCACCCGCTAGCGTTCCGAGGCTGTACCACGCCGGAACCCTTCACCAACTTTTGCAACCAGCGGCCCATCGCCCCAACGACGCCGCGGCACGCTTCTCCCCACCCGGTCATGGTGCGCTTCGGTGCATGGCCTCGCTGAGAGGCACGACAACCGCCCGAACCAGTGCCGCCCGGCATCGACTCTGCGTGCTAGACGCAGCGCGACAGCGGCCGCGCGGCGACACGAAACACAACCATGGCGCCGTCCGGGACGTCAATGTTCTCCAAGCTCAGGCCCGGCCATGCGAAGCGCAATGCCTCGAGTCTGGCCTCGCCCGAGCCCGTCCCCAGCCCCAGTCCCGCCGCACCTCCACTGCCCTCACCGTCGCAGACCACCGAGCACTTCTCCTCGCCGCGCTTCAACGACAATGCCAGCTACACCTCGGGCTCGCCCATATCGCCCTATCCGCCCCAACTGCCGCCCATTGCACGCGTCGCCTCCAAGCTGGACAAGGCGGCCTCGCCTGGTAGCTCCCAGTATACCGCCAGTCAACACTCGGGGAGCACTGGGGGGAGCAGCAGTAAGATGGCGCAGGATCGCAGCTTGCTCTCCCCGCCCCAGCGGACACAGGACCACTTCTCCCCCGCCTATGAGAACAAGCCCCTCTCTGCGCGCTCACATAGTGGAGGCTCTCCCTTGCCACAGAGGACAGAACCCGCCCCGTCGTCTGAGACGCCTCCCCAGTCATCCTCCCACCTGGCGCCCTCTGTCATCTCTCCCGGCTATTCCAACTTCTCCAAGTCGCAGACGTCACTGCTGAGTGGCATCAGCGACAAACTCACGGGCAGTTCCAAGGGCACTTCGACCCCGACGGCAGCCCCCAGCAAGTCAAGATCGAGACTGACTCTGCGCAACCCCATGTCACTCCTCATGCGACGCAGGTCTGGACAGACCCTCGATCCTCTCGCCGACGAATCGCTCGTTACGCAACGCTCCCCGTCGAACGTTCCCCCCATGCCCGATAACTACGACCCCAGCATCCGCGGAAAGATCGTACACGACTTCAATGCGCCGAGACTGAACAGAGGCTACTCGTACAACACTGCCGCAGAAGGAGGGGAGGGACAGCAGGAAATTGGCCGTGCCAGCCCGCCAAAGATAGACAAGGAGCATACACCAGTGTTCCGAGAGCACTTTGACGACGACACCAGCTACGAGCAGTCGCAAGCTGCTATACGCGCAGAGCAACTGGTGAACAAGGACTTCCTCGCAAGAAACTCTGTACAATTTCCCCCACCTGAGCGCTCAGCTCCTCCCCCGCCGCAACCCAAGAACTCGCCGCCGCCGCCACCTCCACCGCAGTCGTCCCCATTGCCTCCACCACAAACGTCTCCACTGCCTCGACCGTCATTCCAAGGATTCGACAGCGGCTCCTCAGTCCTGTCGCCCGTACAAGAGTCGGAAAACCCGCTGGATGTGTCTACAGATGTTACCCCGCGGAAAAGAAAGTCGACAAAGTCGCCACCACCGCCTGCGCGCTCGAGAGCCACCTCCGTCTCCGACCCGTCTTTTCAGCCAGCCGGGCTGCCTGCGCATTTCAGCAGTCGAGCGTCCAGGTTCAGTTTTCAGATATCAGGTCAGACGGATTCTGCGCAAGAGAAGCTGCTCGAGGAGCGACACAAGGCAAAGGAGGCGGAGAAGAAGCAGGCGCGCATTTCTACCAATACGGTCGAAGACGAGTACGACGACTACGGCATGGACGATTACGACGATATGGATGGCGGGTTCGACGAAGAAATACCGATGCTGGGCGAGGAGGACGAGTTTGGGGGTGGACTAGGAGACCAAACACTCGACTCTGGCATGAACACATTCGACTTCTCATCTCTGTCGCTACAGCAGAATAAGAGTCATACCGCTAGTCCGATGAACCAGATGCAGACACCCGTCGACATGAACGGAAACCCTATCGGATTTGCCATGTCGCAAGAGATGCTCCAGCAATATCAGATGTTGATGATGGGCGGTCAGCTGAATGGTCAGAATGCAATGAACCCTCAAGCGCAAGGGTTAGGCTTGACAACTTCTCAGAACGAGCCTCATGAATCATTTCCGCATGAATCACTCGAGACATCAGATAACGCCGTTCCTTCGGATGCCAAGCAACAGAGCTTTGGGAACATCGATTTGGGCGACGACTTTGACTTCGACGATGGGCTTATCGGCGACCAAGACGACATTGAGCCTACAGAGTTTGACGAAAACGTCTTCGATGACCCCAACGGTCCATTGTACGAGAGGAAAGTCAAGTTTGCCGAGGACGAGCAAGCGCCTGCCGCTCATCAACCGCGTGCCTACGATGTCTTGAGTTCGGAAACAGGCTATGAGGCGGACGACGATACTGTGTCGAAGCACCTAGAGAAGTCTTCGCCTACGCTCGCACACAAGACTTCCATCGCACAACAGCGACCTGTACCCAGTTTTGAGAACCTTAGCGCGTATCACAGTGCTCTTGCTGATGCAGCAACGCGCGCTGAGGCTGCTGGCCGGTTTACGAGGAAAGCGAGTGTGGATGTCGGTCAACCCAGCTTCGATGCTGACGACCAGTCCTCGCTCAGCAACTCCCGGCCCAGTCTTGTTCCTGACGATGGTCGCTTCAGTGTAGACACCATTAGCTTCCCACAAGACGATGATGTGTACGGTATGAGCTCTGGCTTTGTGAACGACGACTACGACTACAGTGATTTCGACTCCGCAATGGAAGACGACCCCATCATCGCTGAGGCGAACGCTGAAGCCCTGGCTTATGATGATGAGGGATTCTACGGACAAGAGTTTGGGTTCTATGCGTCTGCAGTCGGCGAGTCACCGAGCGCTTGGGGTGGCTTCTTTGGACCATCTGGGATGGGTCTGGGTCGTACAGTCAGCGGTCGCAACGCCGTAAGAGAGCCCAATCTGACGCCCATCACCGAGCGCAGCGAGTACAGCACCCGCAATTCATTCATCAGTCTCAACCACTTCCGCGACGGTAACCAGCCGATGTCTAGCCCTGGCCTAGCCCAACTTGCGAGGATGAGCCCGTATGGCTTCCCCGGAAATGAGGAAGAAGACATGAGTCTCGACACTCTGCTGAAGCTACGAAAAGGTGCTTTTGGCGGGAGTGTTGCCAGCCTTCCAGTCAGTGCGGCTAACAGCCCACGCAATTCTTCTCCTATGGGCATGCAGTTCGTACCACGGGCATCAAGCCCCGTCGGCAACCGCATGAAGGAGCACCCTTCTAGCTCACTCGAGAGCTCCTACTCTTCCAAAAACGTTTCGTCCGACTACCACAACGACGACAACGAAGACGAGGAAGATGACGACGGCCTCATGGACGCCGTCAACGGCGTATACGAGTCCGGTCGCTCCAGCTCAGACTCCTACGACCGAAACGACCGCCCCGAAAGCCCCACTCTCACATCCAGCGACTACAACAGCCTCTCCAGCCCAACCGGCTACGGCGTAGGAAACGAAGCACCCCTCCTCCCTCCCATCTCAGAACTCTACGCCCAACACAACATGAGCCTAGCCATGTCCCCTGGCGGCCTCTCCGCAACCTCACCCTCCAACATCTCCCTCCCCGTCTCCCCCTTCCCCATGCCGCTCTCCTCGCCCTTCCTCCCCCAACACGTAAACCGACCACCAAACCCACCGTCAATCGATACTTCGCTGTCTTCGCCTTCCGCGCCCACGGTTTCTACGACTGGTCAAACGCGCAGACAGAGTATGGGGCTTAGTCCTATTAGTAACTCTAGTCCTATTACGCCGAATGGTGGTAATGGTGGTAATGGTGGGAGTGGATGGAATAGAGGGCATAGTCGCAAGGGGAGTGCGGCTGATAGCGTGACGTATGTGCGGGAACATGATGAGGCTGGAGAAGGGAGATGGGTGTTGGAGAGGAGGCGCACGGCTGAGAGTGGCGAGTTGGAGTTGATTGGGAGGGAGATTGTTGAGGGGGGGAGGATATAAATATGACTGTCCTGTATAGATTGCCTTTTTGGAGCGTTTTTGGAGACGAGGGCGTTGCATTCATGGCGTTTCTTTTTTCTTTTCGAATGGCATGGCATGGAGACTTTGGGTGGGTTGGCGGTATATAGGACATGCGTACGCGCATGCACGTCTTTTGAACGAGCGCCGCTTGGGCGAGATAGGCTGGTCCTTTTTGATGAAAGACGAAGATGAGGACTTTGGGTGGCGGATTAGATACCAAGATTAGTATAATCATGAATGTTTTTCACGCGCACTTTGAGGTTTCTCACATGTTGGGCCGCACGTGAACGATAGGAGAATGGGAGATCGGGGATGGGAGATGGGATGGAGGTGGGGTATATAAACCTTTTTTGTGCAGGTTCAACTCTTGCTTCTACATCCCACACTCTCGCAGTGCTTTTACCAAAAACCCAACAGATCTCACCCATGGCTGTGTTCTTCTTTTTCAAAATCGACGTTACTCAGTTGGATGGAGTTCCTTCCCG